TCATCATGCAAAACCCTATTATAATCCATCGGAAGTTGCTCCTGCTTTGAAGGCACTGACCCATATTCAGTTTGTGAAGACAAAACCTGCTGTCTCTCACCATAGTCAGATGTAGGCATGGGTAGATATGATTGTTGGTGAGTAGGTTCACTAATAGACACCTGAGGAAATTTGAGAACAAGACCATAAAGCCGTTCTGGACCAGAAACTTTCAAGACTTTTCTCAAAAACTCTGAAGGAGGAACCAAAAACATTGTAGTTCCATCATCAAACTTAGCAACACCTGCACGATCTTTTGCACCTAGATAACGCAGGAATTCGGTATAGGATGCAAAATCATCCTCGCTATCTGGCAAGAAAAAGACGATGTCGAATCCAGTGGCCTCAGCATAATGTTTAGTGAGCTGATCCAGCCCAGTTCTTGCTGAACAATTGACTACTTCAGGACTGCCAAATAGTAGACAAAAACATCAAAATAGATGGTTAGTGAGAATATAAGATTCCGAACACCATCACCTGTACCAACTAGAAATTGATCTTTAGTTGGAATCTTCAAGTTCACATCCAAACTAGCTTTTCTAACAATGTTCCGTTTATAACAAAGCTATGCAGCAAACATCTGCTAATTCATTAAATAATTATTTTCAGATTTCTTGGTTTAAACTCTAAAGAACACAAGAATGTGGAGTTTCCCTTTAGCTTCTAAGATGGGGTGTTGATTTAAGCATTATCAGAATAATCTCTATTATTTAGGAAACAAGTATGGACCTCCAGTTCCAGTACCCCTTTGGCAAAAGGTAGTGTCTGTGTTTTTGTGAGGAAATTATGCTTGCAAAGAAACGGAAGAATTTAAAGATCCTTCGAGATTGGACACATCAATTTTTTTTGCAATCATCCTTCGTTTCCTAACCAACAATTGGGGCTCGTTTCTACAATTTCTACTAATCATGGGGTTACTTGAACAGGATCTGTTTTGTTTAAATTCATTCAATTGTATAGGTTGTTCTATAATATCTGCTAATTCACTTAACAGTTATTTTCAGGATTCTTGGTTTAAATTCTAAAGAAACCAAGAATGTGGAGTTTCCCTTTAGCTTCTAAGATAGGGTCTTGGTTTAAGCACGCTATCGGAATAATCTCCATGATTTAGGAAACTTGTATGGATCTCCATTTCCAGTAAGGATCATATAACACTTTGGCAAGGTAGACTCCCTGTTTTTGTGTGGAATTTATAATTATAAAGAAACGGGAGAATTTAAGGTTCCTTCAGGACTTGGCTCATCAAATCTTTTTTGTGATTATCCATTGTTTCCTATTATCGACAATTGGGGCTCTTTTCTATAATTTCAATTGACCACGAGCTTACTTGAAGATGATTTGTTTTTGTAGGTTGTACAACTACGTCCTTGAGTTCTTTTATAATTTCTATTAATCCCATGTACGTAGGCCCCATTTTTTGTACAAATACAGTTTCTCTATATATAAAAATAAAATAAAATAAAAAAGATAAAAGATAAAAGATGAAAGATACTTTAAATAGACAGCATTCAAAAATATTTATACAAGTGGTGTGCACCAAAACATTTTATTCCCAGATACCGCATGAATTAATCAACTACATGGCATGAGAATCATCCTACGGAAGTGAGAAGCTAATATTAATACGAAAGTTTTATTTAAAAAATATCAGGAAGAAAATTGATACTTACAGCTCACTTCCTATTCCTTCGCCTATTGGAACACAACGAGCATGACAAACAGGCGTTCCTCCCTTGGCAATTATTCCACGCCATACAAAATCATTTTCAGCATGGCTCTGGCCACGTCCACTAACTGGAGCCCTTGCAACTATAGGTATAGCAGGAGTCTTTGCTGGAGCATTGGAATATGGAAGAGAAGAACCTCCATCACTTATTGGACGAACCCCATATTGCTGATCAAAACCCATGCTCCGGTTATCCATTTTTCTTGGAGGAAAAGCAGCATCATCTAAGGATGTTGGACCATCTATCCTTGAACGTTTAGAATCCCTATGGAATTGATTTACATCCAAAGCATCCCACGTACTTGGAGTTGACCTGACCGGTGGAGGTGGACGAATACCAGTAGCTGGAGAAGAAAGTATCCCTGGTGTCGGAGGAGATTGCCTTCTCCAATTTGGACCAATCATATTTTTTGAATTTGCATCCTGAAAACTATGAGATGTCACCAAGTCATTAAATTCTGGGGGGCCTGAGATACCCTGCAGAGGACCAAAGGGCGGTGGTCTTACTGCCGTATTTTGTCCAAGAATGCCACTAGATGGCAGTGGTCCAGGAAACTTATTTTGCACCATTGGGTGAGGATGTCCCAACAGGTCCATTTGTGGAGGACGGATTTGATGCTCATTGAAAAACATATCAGGCCTAGTCTCTTTACCACCAGGATAAAAGCCAAGGTTCTCTTTCACAGGTGCCGGATCACTGTTTGAAAACATAATAGTAATCCGAGGATCATTAAAAAGCCGTCCTTGTAGACCCTCCTTTGCACGCCGTGCTTCATCAACACTTCTAAATTCTACAAATGCAAAATGCCTAGAATGGAAACTTGTGATTCTGTCTATCTCACCAAATAAAATCATCGCATTGTGGAGCATTTGCTCATCAATTTGAACAGATGGAGGATAACCAATCCACAAAACCTTACTGGGAGGTCCATCTCTACGCAACTCCGAAGATTGAGCATGCTGCAACGATTATCAGATGGTTATATTGCTATGATAACAATAAACTAACTATAATTCATAAAGTGAGCTTTTTTCTTTTTCTTTTTCTTTTTCTTTCTTTTTTTTTTTTTTTTTTTTTTTTTTTTTTTTTTGCTAGAGAAGAATTTTGAAGTTTTATTTCATTTCCTCTATTTAGGGATGTCAAATTTCCCATGGGGTCTTGTCTTGCAAGTCTCNTTTTTTTTTTTTTTTTTTTTTTTTTTTTTTTTTTTTTTTTTTTTTTTTTTTTTTTTTTTGAGGAAGAATACAAGAACAAAATGAAGCAAAAATCAGAAAATCCACTAGCATTACGTGGGAGAGAGGGTGGAGAACGGTGGACCCATGATGGATATGATTCTAACCAAACTTCTAAATGGATCGCTCAACAAGCATGGGTGGCTAACAAAATGGCTACCTCATTTCCATCTGTAGGAGTGAGAAGAATACCCCATATGTGATGGTTCTTAAGATGGTCAATCAAAGGGTCAATTTCATTGTATTGATGATCTTGATCCATGAGAAGCTTTTAAAAGTGAGAAAAAGATTATCTGATGTAGAATTAGTCCTTTATCATATCTTAAGAACAAAACTTAGAAAATAACATCCGGACCCAGGTACATTTGTAGTTACTTTATCACAAACAATGTGCACAGGTACGTAAAAGCTTCCACATATTTGTATTTGTAAAGTATTACCAACTATACATAGTGGTAAGACATCAATGATTACATAAGGCCACATGTCAATAAGACTCACCAGTGGTCTTTTATAACCAGATTGGAAATCACCCATCCCCACATTTCTACCCTGAAGCTGTCCATGCCCATCTCTGGTGTCAGGCCACTGATCCTAAAGAGATTCAGATTAATTGCATTAGCGAGAGAAAGAAGAGGTCACATAAACTAATTTCAAAATGAATAAAAAAAAAAATCACAAAAGGTTTAGTAAAAAACCAAGGGCAAAGTCAATACAAAAAGTAATTAACTAGTTGTAAATGCTGCAAACATATTTAATAGAACACATTGATGTTCATTGAGATTCGCTTACTCTTCTCATTGGCTGTGACCGAAGAAAATCAACTCGAATCTGGTCTCCACCAATGCGTTTTCCATTCATAATTCTCAAAGCTTGTGATGCATCTTCCAATCGAACATACTCAATAAATGCTGTATTCCGATCTCGCAAAAACTTAAATTCATCAATTTTACCAAATTTGGAAAATTCCTCTTCAAGTTGCTCCCTTGAAACAGCTGGGCTAATACCACCCACCCACAAATTCCTACAAGGTTTGGCCTGAAAACAAAAATTGTCAATTCCAGTTTCTAGAACTAATCAGTAGAAACCTAATGCATGAATGCGTCTCAATGACATGCAGGCATGCATAAAATTAAAGAATAAATAAAAGAATTTTTCTCAATAACATACTCAAAAGATACAAGATTAACTTTAAGCAACTAAAGGTAATACAACACAAAGTTGAAGATGAGAAATTGAATTGATAGAACCACCAAGAATATACGTGATTCATGGAACTACTAGACAGGCCCATTAGCCTCATAAGATGTGTCCAATAGGTACATTTCAAGGCAATTCAATCCTGAAGCATATAGTAGCTGTTGCAACATTGATGCTTTTTTTCAACATCGAATCCAATATATTCCTTCTCCAACTAGATGATCGATAAAGGAGAGTGTAATGATCACTTCTCTCACACAAACACGCTGTGTATGAACTATTTTCTAAAGACTTTAAACTTTGTTTCACAAACAAAACATTTAGTTCAAATTCATAAAATTTCAATAAGAAGATTTACAATCTTCAAACGGTTCACAAAAACCCCAACTAACATGCCTTAAAGACACAAAAATTTTAATTCTTTTATTTTTTTTATTTCTTTGTTTCTTTGTTTCTTTGTTTCTTTGTTTTTTCTTTTCTTTTTTTTTTTTTCTTTTTTCTTTTTTTTTTTTTTTGTATAAGGCATAGTATACAGCAATTATCCTCAGAAAAGCCTATCCAATATGCTTGATGACAGCAATACGTTGTTCATACTCAAATTGAAGGTAAACATTATCAGTGGCCAAAGTACAATTAGACAAACAATTTGGCAGTAATAATTTCAGCATCAGTTAAGACAGCCAGATACCACACAGTCCATCCTGAGTGATTGATTGAACTTAATAATAAAAATAATTATTTATAATCATTTTTCTTATTTTAAAAAAATGTATTCCTTTAGACAAGGTATACAGACAAGAANTTTTTTTTTTTTTTTTTTTTTTTTTTTTTTTTTTTTTTTTTGTATAAGGCATAGTATACAGCAATTATCCTCAGAAAAGCCTATCCAATATGCTTGATGACAGCAATACGTTGTTCATACTCAAATTGAAGGTAAACATTATCAGTGGCCAAAGTACAATTAGACAAACAATTTGGCAGTAATAATTTCAGCATCAGTTAAGACAGCCAGATACCACACAGTCCATCCTGAGTGATTGATTGAACTTAATAATAAAAATAATTATTTATAATCATTTTTCTTATTTTAAAAAAATGTATTCCTTTAGACAAGGTATACAGACAAGAAAGATTCATTAGAAACTACCCAACATCTATTCAACATCAAAACTTCTTAAAAAATAAAAACAGTATTGCATCCCAACAGACCTAAAGAAGTTTTGTCTAATAGCGTATTCAAACACATGTTTTCACATATTGACTAACCTAATGAAACTACCATACATCCTACATTTTTATCAAAAGACGTGGAAACCACAGGATGCTGATGTTTTAGAAAAAGGACAGGCACAGCCTGACCAAAGATCTGAGTTAACAAGTTTTCCTTACAATCGCTAGGCTTAATATGGCTGTTAAATCATACGTAAATATAAAGGATACAAGCAGCAAAAGTCACAATGGTTAGAAGCCCAAGGAAAATACAATTAGAAAAAGATTGTATAAGCATGGTAAACTTCACCAATGGCTTAGCAATCCCAAAGGGAAATAGTCACACTCCCAATTTATAATGTAATATAACTTGTAAATCAAAGCAAGTTTATTAATCATGAATAATCCGTCAACATATGTACAGAATAACATACATATATATCAGTAGTCTTTACACAAGAAAATTTCGCAAAAACAAGTGTGGCTTTCCAAAAGAAATATGAAAGTTGAAAAGAATAAAGATTACAATCTCTCATAAACAGTCTTCCTTTTTCTACTTTATTGGGAAACTCAAGAGAAGGTACTTACCAAGAGGGTAGACTAGAAATGTCACCGATCCAAAATGCAAACAGTACTCTTTTTTAATCAATATCAAAAAGATGAGAACATTGAGAAAAAATTTAGCCCAAAGAGACAGGTACAATCATACTCTTTTCCCAACATGGTCCCTAAACAAGCATCACATGATATTTTCAACACAACCTACTGGAGTATTATCTATTGATCAAAAAAATTGTCACCACACACAAACCAAATAAAATACTCATTATTAATAAATTAAAGAGGTACTACATACTTTGGTCTCTCAATATGCCTCCTCAAAAAGGTTGGAAAAGTGTTGCTCGAGGCTTTGATGGGAACTTGTTTTAGGGAAACAAACAAATATCCTATAGGGCTGCACTGTTAAATCTACAATATGGACGACATGAAAGGAACAAAATCTTATAGACTATTTGAAGGTAGGAGGAGCTTGGGAGATTCCTTTATCTATAGTATATAACACTTGACTTCTTGGAAGAGTTCAAACCACAAAGATTTTGGTGGTACCGATAGCCTTCCTTAAATTATTAGAAATTGGCATCAGTTCTTTTGTTTGGGGGAAGGGTTGTCTCTACCCCTAGCCCTTAAGATTTGTTCTTCTTCTTCTTCTTCTTCTTCTTCTAATTTTTTTATTTTTTATTTTTTAATGAAATATAAGATGTCTTCTTTAGTGCTTCCTCATGGTATTTTTGTCTTCAAAGTTTAAAATCTCTCAAAATTGAAAAACACGAGTAATCGTAGGTGTCATCCTTGAATCTTTCTTATATTATATTTTGTTAAAGGGATGCAGATTCCAGAATTTCACTAATGTCTCATCCTGGAATCATCAAAACAATGGAGATTTTGTTTATATTTTTAGCCAGTAGGTCAAGGTCAAAGTGCTGTTCAATGAATGATATTAAGAGGAAAGGCTATTTGCATAAATATCAAGCTTGAATGCATAGCATGCCCAGAAAACATTACCAAACAGGAGTAGCTTATCTACTTAAGTGTTCCAAATTAAAAACACTTGCACAAATGAACTCCTCTCAAAGTAGGAACATGTCAAATGTCTTTTTAGGCAGACAGTTAGCAGAGCTACGACAACAAGACTAATTTCTATTTTAGCACAATTAGATACATAACCCTTACTATTCTAATAAGTCCTTAAACCTAATAAATTTGGTACTTTTTGAATCTTAAAATTCTTCTCATCATTATCCATCAACTAGTAGAATTGGCAACAACTAAATAAAGAGAAGAATTGACCCATCCTTGTGGTCTCTTACATGATGCATAAGGGCAATGTTTATTAATGAACTAATGCTGCAAATAGCATAATAAAAAGAAGAAAAAGTTGAACAAGAAACTGTTTGTTCATGTCCTTTATTTAACCTTCTCACTCAAAGCTCTCTCCCCCCTTCCAATACTTGGGGAGAAACATGGAAATATGCTTCTCTATACATATCTTGTCCAAAAAAAAAAAAAAAAAATAGAAACTATGCTAAAGAGGAAGAAGTTTAATGATGAGGAAAATTGAGATAATGACCTAATTAGTGGTAATAAGTTTTAACTTGTAGGTTTGCAACATCGTTTTGTAGTTTCGTGACTTAATGGATTTTTAGTTATTGAAAATCCTATGATACTTAAAAACTTGTTTTTGATTGTCTTAAAGAGTTCATTGTTATTCTCTCAGGCCAAAGCTTCATATTAGTTTGAATACCATGTATATAGGTGTTCATATTTGTTTCACTGTGTGCTTAACCTTGTTGGAGCCATCGTATCTTCTTTTCCCTAAGTTGCACTTGAGCGCTTGCTCTTCAATCCGTTTCACGCTTTATAAACAATACATACGATCTCGAATATTTGCTCCAATATATAACATTACTAGACTGATTTCTAGCACTTCCTGATCTTTACACTGATACCATCTTCCATACATCATATGAGTTGACCTTATGAAAATTCTTCTTGTAAACCAAAGAAAAAGCTAAGCATAAAAAATTAAGCCTATTTCTTCTCTAGATAGTACCAATAACATGTTTAATTAAGAGGGAAGGATATACAAAGACCACCAGAGAACACACCCACCCCAATCTCATTACTTCTAAAACATTTAATAGCAATGGAATCATATAATACTTTTGAAGAGTTTGTAATTTTAGTACCACAACTTAAGCAAGAAATTCAGATTTTCCCGAGGTTGGATATAATTGCAAGGTTTATATCATTTTGGTCATTAAAATATGCATAGTTTTAATGTAGCCAAATGCTATCAGGTTGAAAGGTTTTAATGTAGCCGAATGCTATCAGGTTGAAAGGTTTTAATGTAGCCGAATGCTATCAGGTTGAAAGGTTTATATCGTATGATCCTCCTGAGCTATATCAATTATTGATATGTTCTCCCAATTATTAAGATTCTTTCAAACATGCGTATTTGATCGTTATTTATGCCATGAATGTCGGTGTTGGGTTTGTTATATTCGATATTGAATATCAACAAAAGGAAAAACCTTCATCATAGGAAGATTACGCCTATCTCGACGGTTGTCGCATTATCAAACGGGAAGGGTCCAAATGAAGAGTAAAATTAAAATCAAGAAATTGCAAAACAAAGCGAGTAATTAATGGCACGTCAGTCATGTACGCCAATCCAATAAAACCCAACACAACACAGAGATCAGAACAAAAACAAACCGGTCTCGCAAACTCGATCTTGATAGAACTCCCACGCAGAAAAAAACCCTGAAGAGCATCCTTAGCCGCTTGGGCATCCTCCATATGCTTGAAGTAGATGAAAGCGAAGCTCCTGGAGGAATAGGAAGTAACACTATCAAGGGCACCAAACTGCGCAAACAAATTCATGAGATCCGCATCGGTGACATCCATGGACAAGTTTCCGACCCATAAGCTGTTGGAAGACATCTCCGCAACGTCCGAGTCCCTGTGCAGTAGTGGTCGGCTCAGTTTGGGAGGAAGCGGCATTGTAATCAAAAACGAAGAAACAGAGACTAAATTCACCTTTGGGCTTTTGTCACCGAGTTTGCAGAGCGAATTAATTAGTGCAAAGGAAATGTGTCGACGAGAGAGAGGATTTGAGGTTGAGGTTGAGGTTGAGGTTGAGATTGAGAAAGAATTCTTGTATTGAAGATAGGGTTAGGTTTTGCAGAGGGAAATAGGGATTTGGAAATGAAATTTGGGGGAACGGTTTGGCTGTTCAGCAAGATGGCAAAATTACCATATTAGACGCCCTTCGTTGGTTACAACCTTTTAGTTCAATGATGAAATGAAGGGTTTAAAATGTAATTTTGAAGATTTTTTTCTCTCTCTTATTTTGTCTATTAATTTATTTATTTATTTCCCTTTATAAAAGACACATTTATTAATAATGAATAATTGTTAAATTAAAAATGCTATCAAATAAAATAGTTATAAAAATATTTTAAATTTTTTATTCGTTATTTTTTTAATTAGTTAAAAATATTGGAAGGGTATGTTTGTAATTGTGATATACATGATTTTTATTCATGGTATGGACAACTACTAATAATGTGAGATCTCATATCAATTGGAGAGAGTAATGAGTGTCAACGAGAATGCTGAGAATGTTGGGCTCCGAAGGGGTAGATTATGGATTTCTAAATCGATTGAAGAGAGGAACAATTGCCAACAAAGATGCTGGGCTCGAAGGAGATGAATTGTGAATTCCTACATTAATTGGAGAGAGTAACGAGTGTCAGCAAGAACACTACACCCCAAAAGGGGTGGATTGTGAGATCCCACAAGGACGTTGGGCCTTAAGGGGATGGATTGTGAGTTCTTATATTGATTGGAGAGAGTAACGAGTGTTAGCAAGAAAACGCCCCAAAAGGGGTGGATTGTGAGATCCCACGAGAACACTAAGGCCTGAAATGGATGGATTGTGAGTTCCTACATTGATTAGAGAGAGTAACGAGTGTCAGCAAGAATGCTGCGCCCCAAGAAGTGGATTGTGAGATCTCACATTTATTAGAGGGAGCAACGAGTGTTTGCGAGGATGTTAGGACCTGAATGTTGGATTGTGAGATACATCAATTAGAGTGAGGAACTAGTACCAACGAGGACGATGGGCCCTGAAAAGGGTGTACAGTGAAATCTCACATCCGATGAAGAGTAGAATGAAGCATTCTTTATAAGAGTATAAAAACTTTTCTCTAGCCGACGCGTTTCAAAAATCTTGAGGGAAAAGCTCGAAATAAAAAGTTCAAAGATGACAATATATACTACCAATGGATTTTGGCCGTTGAAATAAATTAGATTAATACAAATGGAATAAGTCATATGCTTATTCAAGAACATCAACAATATGCACTCTCACTAACATCTGAATGTACAATTGAATGTATGTATAATCCTGAACTGAACAAACCCAGATCCGTATACTTTCAGTAATCAAATCACATAAATTAAGAAGATGAGAAGGCAAATAGCCACTTAGCTTCTGCTATGTACATGTGATTTAAACAACACTCACCTTCTTGCTTTTGTTTCGGTTGCCTCGATCTGCTGTGGCACTGGCTGGGATCCCCCGCCCAGTGCAGCGGCTGCAGACTCGACGTGCATCAGAAGATACTCGTAGATCTTCTTCCTCAGCCTGTCGATTGTCTCGGTTTGAATGTGAGCTGTGTCTTCTTCATCCTTGCTAAACCAAGCTATTCCATCTAACCAGTCGTTTACACTCTTCAGCTGAGTCAATATTCCTGCTACTTGTCCATTATCTGACAAGGCTGCAGTGTCCACACCTGCATCCAAGAACCTTTCCATGAATCTCAAGAACCAGTCCTGGGATTGCACTCGTAATGTCTCACCCAAGTCAACTGCTTCGTCAACCCCGTTTCCTCTTATCCATTCTGCTGGAGGTTGAGGCTGCACCTTCTGACCGAGTGTCGTCGCTCCTTCCTTTGTTCGACTTGGATTTCCTGATCCAACGGGTTTAGTGCTTATCATCTGGCGGATCTTCCCTTGGGATTTTGACGAGCTGTTCTTAGATGAGTTTTCTAAAACCACTATAGGATGATTTGCAGATGTATTCTTTTGGTTTTGAGATAGACATAAGGTCGGGTTTAGAGTCGAGGGTGGATCACGGCTGTAAACTGCAAAAGATGAAAGGTTGGTAGCTAAAGCAGCCTGAACCCAAGCAGATGCCTGTCTTCTTGCCATTAATGTGACCTTCATTGTTTCTTCCGAAGCGGTTTCTTCGGTCTCATTGTTCGAACCAGATGGAGTAGTTTTTGAAAGTGATTCAGCTACCATGTGAGCATTGGTTAGGCTAGCATGAAGGGTCAGAAACTGTTCTACCGCAGGCTGTGGGTTGTGCTCCTTCGCAGCAGTATTTAACTCTGAAAATATACTGCAAAACAAACAACATAAGGCAACAGAAGAATGTTTCAAATCTTTTCTGTCCTCTAATTAGCTCTAAAGAACTTTTGACTAAAGATGTAAAGATGTAACCATGCAAGCCTACCGCTAGCCAATATTGTCCTCTTTAGAATTTCCCTTACAGGCTTCCCTTCAAGATTTTTAAAACACGTTTGCTAGAGAGAGATTTTCACACCCTTCTAAAGGGTTTTTCATTATTCTCTCCAACTGATGTAGGATCTCACAATACACCCCTCTTCGGGCGCTAGGGAGAGATTTTTATAAAAGGTGTTTCATTCTCCTCAACCGATGTGGGATCTCACAATCCACCCCCCTTCAGGTGCTAGGGAGAGGTTTTCACACTCTTATAAAAGGTGTTTCATTCTCCTCCCCAACCGATGTGAGATCTCACAATCCACCCCCTTCGAGCCCAGCGTCCTCGCTGGCACTCGTTCCTTTCTCCAATCAATGTGGGACCCCCACCAAATCTACCTCCTTCGGGGCCAGCGTCCTTACTGGCACACCACCTCATGTCTACCCCCTTCGGAGCTCAGCCTCCTTGCTGGCACATTACCCTATGTTTGGCTCTGATATCATTTGTAACAGCCCAATCTCACCGTTAGCCGATATTATCCTCTTTGGGCTTTCCCTTTCGTACTTCCCCTCAAGGTTTTTAAAACGCATATGCTAGGGAGAGGTTTCCACACCCTTATAAAAAGTGTTTCATTCTCCTCTCTAACCGAGGTGCAATCTCACAAAAGAACTACAATGCAGATAGAGCTACAAGTGAAGCACCAAGTAAGCTTTCATACCTTAAACATCGTAGTAAGCTCTCGGCCGCCGAAGCTTCTTGCATAGCCTCTATTGCTGCTGTTTGTGCAGCATCTCTGTGCCTCATTACTTCCTATTGTAGCAGACACAAAAGAACAATGGGAAGAAAGCAAGACAAAAAGAAGACATACATTAACACTTCATTGATTACCACTAAAAAGAGCTTATCTTTGGCTATCAAAACATCAGATATTCCATACCTTTCCAAGCTTGGCAAGAGATGATGGAAGTGAAGCCCATGAAACACTCCCTTCAGTCAATCTTCTATGACTAAGAGGAATCTTCACCAAGTTCCCGGGGAACCTGACTGCATCGCTTGAAGATGATTTCTTTCCATTCGAAGATTTTTTCCTATTCGACCTTTTCTCATTATCTAGAGCTCCATTGGCAGCATTCTTCTTTGAAGAATCATCTTTAGATGACTTTGCTGGTACCTTGTCACTCAATGTACTTCTTCTAGGAGTCTGAAAAATATAAGTAAGTTAAGTCAATGGACTTGGCTGGATCTTTTAAGCTCATCACATGAAGAACAGGCTTTGAATTCCATGGTTATTTCACATTTTGGCAGGACAAATGAACAATTTCCATGTTAAACACAAATCAAATATGAAACGATGATCGTATTGGGTATGCTAAAACTTACAGTAACCCGAGCTTCGGGCTTGGCATCAAGTTTGCTAGCTCTTAATATCGAATTGTCTCTTCTTTTTGTCTCCATGTTGTTCCCTTCCCAACTCTTCCTCAGACCCTTGGCTCCAACCTCAATGCCCTGAACTAAATGTTGGATCTGATGTCCCATTCCCATCTTCTTGGCAACAGGACTAGCTGAACGAATCGAGTTCTTCTCGACCGCTCCTACCTTGGTTGTTACATTAGCCAATGGCTTAACCTTCCCCTGCTGCTTAATGCTATTGGAAAACTTCTCAAATGAAGAAGGTAACGAATAACAGCTCGTCGGAGATGAAGGCATCGACCGCAAAGGCTTCTTCTTCACATCTATATTCACTGTCAATTTCGACGACAACTGAGACTTGGATCTACACAAGGGTGAGGCTCTCTTCTCAATTTTATCCTCCTTGGCATTGCCATTGAGCCTCTCAGCCACAGATTTCTCCTTCTCCCCACTAACGCCAATGCCAACTTTTGGTGTTGGTTTCAATTTATCCATAGGTTTCAGATTAGGATTATTATTAAGAAACCCAGGAGAATGAGTAGCAACAATATCTTCAGGGGTACCCACACAAGGATGTCGACCAGGCACAGGTCGAACTCCATGAAGAATGGGGACAGGGGAAGCAGCCTCAAGGCGTTCGATATGAATAAACTGACCCAATTGAATATTATCACTAAGAATCAGTTCACCATGTTCATCAGGGAGTGACACATATGTGGCATGAGAAGAATCAGAGACTTTGAGATAAAAACCTTGATTCGGAGAGAGATCGCCGCCGGC